TAGATAGATAGATAGATAGATAGATAGATAGATAGATAGATAGATAGATAGATAGATAGATAGATAGATAGATATTTTGAGGGGATGGAAAAGTTGGAGACTATTTTCTGTTTATGAAGTCCCACATTCAATTCTTAGATTGTTGTTCAAAAACAGATCAAGTAGCGGGTGATGGTGGAGAACCTTCTGAGATCCAGGAACTATTTAGCCCAGTCCTTCTTGAGAAAGAGAGTTGGTCTGAGGTCCTGCATCTCAACTGCCATGGAAGTTGCTGAACCTGGGTTTAGAGTGTTGTGGGAACCTGGCTAATGGCTGGAGTAGGCACTGTGAGCGTTGTCCATTTCAGATGTGAATGTCAAACGCTGCCATTGAAGGACCTCAATTCTGGGGGTGACAGTCTATCTCCCCACATTGCTATAGCTCAGTAGACAATCTTGGCTACTGGGACAGATGTGCTAACCTGGGTTTGCACATTAAGCTATATCATAACCCTTGTTCATTTGGGTCACGCTGTATCACAACCATCACCCAGTCAATGATAGTTTTCAAACTATGGTTTGTAGCTTGGTGTGGGAACCCAGTTCAATGAGGCTGCGTGGTGGGGTGGGGAGAGCCAAGGTTTATGACCTGATGAGGGTCTCTTCTTCCAGGTTCCACTGCGTGGGAATCATTTTTTTCCTCCTGGGCTTAGGAACGCTTCTCCCGTGGAACTTCTTCATCACGGCCATCCCGGTGAGTCCTTCGTTTTGGAGATATTCCTGGGCAATGGGGGGGCTTGGACCTTCTGCGCTCAATCCTTATTTCTCCTTCTGATCCTTGCTGAGTTATGATTATAAATGCTTTCACTGGGGTTGGAACAGGCCGGGTGGGGAGGCTGGAAGAGTGTGACTCTTTATATAAAGGACAGGTCTGACTTCGTGGAGCACGGGGTTGGGATAGATGACCTCAAGAATCCCTCCCAACTCGTGATTCCTGACTCTTAGAGCATTTTCCATGCAATTCCTCCATTTTTTCGAACCCGCCTTTGTTTTGCTGCAGGGGGTGGGGGCAGGAAGATAAACCAGACTAGGTTTGTTAAGCCTAGTTAATCCCTGCAACATCCTCGGGGCTCCGGAGGTCCGAAGTAACAGGCTGGGGATCAGCGTCCTCATCTTTCCGGCTTCTCGAAGACGTCTTGTGCTCCCTTTCTGAAGACACGAGCGCGCTCTTCTGACCAAACTCTTTCTCTCCCCAGTATTTCGAGGCCAGGCTCACGGTGGGGAACTGCTCGGCCAGACCGGAGGCAGCTGAGAATCAGACAGCCTTGGACCGCCAACCGGTCTCCGCCTGCAGAGATGATTTCAGCTTCAGCAACTGGCTGACTCTGCTTTCTCAGTTGCCTTTGCTACTCTTCACCTTTCTCAACTCCCTCCTCTACCAATGGTGGGACATTTTTCTCTCCACGTCTGGGTTGCCGGCCGCCTCTTTCCGCGTCCCACCCTTCGGGGCCCAATCCATTCTTTTAGCCCTGTCCAGAGTGAGGGGCCTCGCTTGCCGGCGGGGAAGGGGGAAAACGGAAGGGAAATGGCTGGTTGGGAGAGCCACTCGACATTCCCCTGCAAAGTCTTTCCCCGAGGCTTCCCAAATCTGGCATCCTGTATCCCCAGGGAGCATAGCCCGGCCAGGCATGCTAAAATCGCCGATTGTAAAGGGCCATGAGAACAACTTTGGGAGACAGGAGGAAAGGCGCAGCCCAGATGTCTGAGAAGAGGCATCTGAGCTCAAAGCAGGAAGGGGGCCGGAGAAGGCGTCTCCAAAGGGACCCTCCCTCCTTCTCTGGAAGGCAAAGGCAGCAGAGGGGGGAAGCACGTTCAGGCTTGCAAAAGTCAGTTCCTGTAACCTTACAGTAATGGTAGCATTCGTACTGGTGGTTTTGGCTTCCTGTCTGGACTACCTCAAAGGGCTGATGCAGAACTCGTTCTCCCTCCATCCCCTTCTCAAAGCCAAACGGGGTGGTTGATTTATTGATTTGAAGCTTGGGCGAGTATATTCCCACGCCTCCCTTTCTTCCAGCCTCGAGCGAGGTCTCTCCCCGGCTCAGTTTTCCCACTAGCCTTGGATGGCCCTTCCTTTCCAGCCATTCACACGTCCTTTTTTCCCTCTGCAAAGCATTTCGGACAAAGTGCGCGTTCTGGGCAGCCTGGCGGCCATCCTGTTTCTCTTCGTGCTGACGGCCATCGTGGTCAAGGTGGTCATGTCACCCCAGAGTTTCTTCTCCATCACCATGGCGAGCGTCTGGTTCATTAACTGTGAGTTTGCATTAATCTGGGGGCTGGTTTGTTCCCCCCTGGACCCCTCTGAGATTTTGATCCGTGCTCTATAGAGTTGTCACAGGCCCCGATTCAAATTCCCCCTTTGGCCCTCCCAAAACGTTGAGCAACCTACCTCACAGGGTTGTTGTGAGCCCAGGGACTTGGTTTTAATTGTCTTGCCCATCCTGAGCCTTCCAAAACTATTGGACTGCAACTCCCAGAATCCCTAGCCAGCATACCAGGGAGGGTGTCAGAACGACAGAGGCAGCGCCATTCAGTCTTGGGGAATCATGCGCTTAAAGCAGTGTTTCTCAACCTTGGCAACTTTAAGATGGGTGGACTTCAACTCCCAGAATTCCCCAGC